CAAATTGATTCCCAAATGCCACAACTAACCGTTCCCTTGTGGTGCCATATTCTTCTGATGTAACTCCTGAGCTTTTGAGATGGGTTGTCATCAAATTTCAATGTCAATTAAAAAGACACTCCTTTAGTTTTTTTAGCTGCCAGAAAAATGGAGTGGGGGAAAATAGCATATTCCTTAAATGCCCAGATAATCACCCTAGCAGCCCAAAGTTGTCAGAGCACAAGAAAATTATTGGAGAGCATGATTGATGACTCTTGGGGATGGATGTGTCCCATTGGAGAATACACATCCAGGGGGTGGGGGGAAGACTAGGGTCAAGGGGGAAATGAATGATGTATTTTAGTATTGGCTGCATCCAGCCAACACCAACATGTCCACTTCTAATAAATCAATTTTCTTTTCTCTGAGATGCATCTAGAGACTTATGATTTGAATGGAGGTGGATTTGTTGGAGTCCTGACATTCAATTCTCCTCCCCTATAATTCCCCCCCCCCCCCCCCGTGATCTACTAATTGAATGATGGCACTGAGTCTTAATTTCTCATTGCCTTTTGTATGCTGAAAGCTTTAAAACAGGAGGACCCTGCCTAAACCTGTAGAGTTCTAAAAATAAAAAAAGCCATTTGAGATGTGTTGCTTTGAAATTACAACCAATTCTTTAAAACAAGAAGAGGAAGGCCTAAAGCAAAGCTTGAGCAAAGTTCAGGACACATTTGCTATTCACACATCTGACCTTAATCTTGGCAGGCATTTTCTGAACTAATTTAAATAAGAAAGATGAAGTGGGTGGGGGAAACATCTGACATGGAAGCTGCATTCCAAATCATCACTTGGCAAAGGTTGCTCTTCGTTCTGCTGAGTTACATCCAAACAGCTTGATGCTGTCAAAACAGATTGTATGTAACTGGGACTGTGTCCCTATTGGTACGAAATCTATACATCTGCATAGCCTAGAACCAAATTAATGATAGCTGCACCAGTAATGGATAATTTGGCAATGAAACCATCCTATGCTAATTTAGAGCCAACCATGTGCCAATATTGTACCTACATCTGTTTCATGAGGACAGAAGTCAAGCATGTTTACAAAACAGTATGGATTGGACAATAGCAATTAACTGCTGCAGTGTGATTCAAGATACACTGGACATGCACCAGTGTTAGGCTATGTTAGTCTGAATTCTGTACTCTCCAGACTGTAACTTCCAAAACTCCCAGTCAACAAACCCATTGGTCACACTGGGAGGACAATTTCCGAGTGTAATGTATATAGAATTCCGAGTTCAATGCATATAGAGGTCAACAGAATGGGAAAGATTGGGAAATGCTGAAGAAAAAGTTGATCCATTTCTTTGCATTCCACATTAGTTTATTAAATACTTCAAAAAGGTTTTTTTCCTCTCTAAATGAAACTTTTTCCACTCACAGTATGAAGACAGGATAATTAAGGCAACAGATCTTTGAGTTCAAAAATGGGCAACCAGCAGGAAGGAATGCAGACAAACAGGTAGGTAAAATATTAAATCAGTTGTGTAAATGCCTAATAGACGATTGCCCTGACTGAGCTAATAAACCACAATTAGAAGCTTCATAGCAGATGGGTGGAGTTAAAGAATTCACTAGCCAGTGTACTGACTGGGGAATTCTGGAGTTGAAATGCAAATACCTTAAAGTTGCCAAGTTTGAAAAACACTTCTTTACAGGTTCAGATTTTGGAGCCATTTCTCACCAGCCAAACTTAGCAAAACTCAATTACTGCTGGCCTACTTATCTGTTGTTTGAAATCTTGTTTCTACTTTATGTCATTTGGGACAGGCTAAATCAAATGTGTGCTGTCCACCAAGGCAGTACAGATCTTTGAAAAATATGTTTTGTTTCTTGTAAGGCTTGAGCAAAAGTGCCTTTTTGAACCAAAACTAAAAAGCAAAGTCCCACTTCTAAACTGCAAAAGGGAGTGGGTGGGGTGCTCTGCTAAATATTCATTTAGTACATGTCTAGCACATGAACCAAAAACACAAGCTCTTGAGATTGAAACAAACCTCTTCAAAACAGACCACCTTTGGTCTTGTTAAATGGGTGCAGGTGAGGAAGGAGCAGGACTCAGGAGTGCAAAGAAACTCTTTATTTTTAAGCCGGAATCAAAAAGCAAACAAATGTGGTAGGTGCCAGCTTTTTATAGCCAGTGCTGTCCAATACTTCAGCCATTGACGGGATTCAAATCTTCCTGCCAGCGGCTGAACCACTGAGTTGAGTCTGACATCAAACTCCACTTTGCATATCACATAACACATGTAAATACAGCGTCATGCATATTTAACAGCTCTGCCTTGAACTTTGTCAAGGCTAATCACTGGCTCTCCACAAGGATTTTACCATACTGTGTGGTTGGATTGTTGAGCAAGTCAAAATTCTTCACTGAAATAAGTTCTGGCCAACACAATCTGGGAGGGGTGGATATATTGAAGGCAGGGATTGGCTGAAGCACAACCAGTGTCACATACTTCTCACCTTTCTTCATATGTAAGATGTAGCCTTTGTGTCAAAATCACTTGGGCATAAGAATCTACCAATTAAAATCTGCTCTGGTACCATGAATTTAACTCCCTCAACAATCAGATTGCAAAGAGGCAGAATTACCATGTTTATTTTTTCCATCATGGTTCTATGATGAATAGGAAGAAAAAAGTGTCTATTTGTAGTACATAAACCAATGGAATTACACAATTTAAATCATATTTAAACATTATTTATTATTAAATTTATATGCACCCATTTACTATCCCATACAACTGTGGGCAGTCTAGGAATGAGAGAAAATTGGTGTCAAGAAACCAGAAGGTAACACTGGGGGTTTCAGGCCATTTTGATGATGTAAATCTGTTTTTAAGAAAGCTTTTAGACATATCTGGGGGAAGTAATTCTTCTTCTTTAAATAATAGCTATGGGGATATATATGAAGATGGTATGGGATTTATTTGTTTGTTTATTTATTTTTCCAATGTATAATATGACTACCTGTCTCATTTAGTAAGCTCAGGTAGAATTAAATAAAGACAATAAAAACACTATAAAAAATAAAATACAGGCAGGTGAGAAACAGCAATCCAAATCACTAGCACAACAGAAAAGTGGGATGTAGGCAATATATATGACTTGCATATTTTGCCATATGAGTTTCCCTTTGGATATGACAATAGCAATCGAAAAAGTAGAACTGCATAAGAACAACAGATCCAATTATCAGCATCTGTCCTGAGATTAAAGCCCATCTGTTATCACCCAATAATGATAAATTAAGTGCAATCAGAAATTCCTGAGGTCCATTCATTGCAACTCAGCGATGCATTTTTCATATTGAGCTCTGCTACAACCTTCCCTGCTTCCAATCAAGCCCATTGTGTTTTCTCTCCATTGCCCTTATCGTTCCTGCACTGCAAACATATGGAGGTTTTGCAGAGGGAACACTTTCAGCCAGCAGAGCCAGATACTATTATGGCATTCCATGCGCTTCTGAAAACAAGCTGGGAGGGAGGAAGGCTGTTCCTCCCACATATGGGTGCATGAGTGATAATCTGGCACTGGGGCACCCTAGAGAGAAAACATTGAACGGCAAGGAGACAACATAATTTTTCATAATTCACCACTGCTTTCCCCTGGCCATTCTCCAACGAACAGGTGTGTTAAGGAACAAGTGGATAGAACATGTAGAGCAGGGATCCCCAACCTTTTCGACGCCGCGGCCCGGTTCCGGCGTCAGCTGGGCGCCGCCATCTTTTTTTGACGAAAAATCACTTACGGTGACGTCACCGGAAGTGATTTTTCGTCAAAAAAAATGGCGGCGCCAGCGCTTCTGGTGAGCTTTTTCGGGTAGAAATGGCTTTCTACCCGGAAAAGCTCACCCGAAGCGCTGGCGCTGCCATCTTTTTTGACGAAAAATTGCTTTTTTTACCAAAAAAAGATGGCGGCGCCCAGCAACCAGCGGCCCGGTAAGGCTTGTTCCGCGGCCCGGTACCGGTCCGCGGACCGGCGGTTGGGGACCCCTGATGTAGAGGATTCAACCTGTCAACATGACATCTGAGTCTTTCCCCATCTTTTTCTGTAGTACTGACAAAAGTCCATTGGAGGGCAGCATTTCAAAACTTCCTGGGATTCAAAGCTTCCTGGGGCTAGAGGCCAATGTTAAAATTAAAACTGTATGGTGACATCTTTTACCCGCACCTTGTGTTTTCTCATTTCTTTGGCTTAGAAGCAGTAGATTAAAAGCTAGTGCATGGGCAGTCCAGTAGAAATGATATTACAGAAAAAGGAAATCATTAAGGAGGTAGGATTGAGCTGAATTGAAGGATCTTAAGAAATTGCCCAAAGACATTTCACCTTGGCTTCAAGTGCCCATCTTTTTCAATTAGCAACTGAATGGTTTCTCATTGAGTTTTATGGCAGGAAATGAGGGGATATCAAACCAAAGAGAGTATGAACCCAAAGATTAAAAAGATAGAAACAATGGCTGGTTCAAAAACAATGCATGGAATTGTATAATTTCACGATTGACATCAACAATCTTCATTAAAATTCAGCCCATCAAAAGGAAAGGGAATAAGTTTATTGCAGAGGAAAAGCAACAGCTAAATGGCGTGTTTCTGAGAAAAAGAAGCAAGATAAAACTATCAAGCCTCTGTATTTCATCGCTCCTCCTGGAGGAAGTCCTAATGCTTGCTTTGTAGCATCTTGATCGCCGGTATCATTTGATAAGAGTTTCATTTTGTTCCCCCCTCCACTCCTCTGAATGCTCTTGCCTCATTCTGCTGTATTTTTCAGCTTCCTTGAGCTGCCACTCAGTTTAGGACCATATTGACAGTTTCTCGATGAGTGAAACCACAAGTGAGTGAGGGATGTTGCTATATGGAAATTAGTTACAACGTCAGGAGAATGAAACACAAAGCTTGCTGGGGGAATTTTTTTTTGCCCAACTCTGAAGATCTTTGTTTTTAATATACACTCAAGAGAAATGGATCTGGTGGAGGTGCTCGTTATGACCCTTTCCCTAATGGCGGTCAGAAAAGGTACCTCTTCATACTTGCTTATTTCTGCATCTTCATTCCTCTCCAACTTTCTGGTTTGTTTTTTTTTCCTTCAGCTATTTCTAAATAGCTTGCCTTTAGAAGTTGTGGGCGCATCATCACTGGAGACTTTCAAAAAAGAGACTGGACAACCATTTGCCTGAAATGGTATACGGTCTCCTGCCCGACCAGCGGGGGCTGGACTAGAAAACGTCCAAGCTTCCTTCCGATTCAATTATCTGTTTTATGTTCTCAAGGACCTTTAGATGAGGCCTCAGCTCAAAGTCAGTATGTCTCTTTATTAATTATTGAAACCTTCTCCTTCCTTTTGGCCTTGCCTTTTGTGATGAAGTTGTAATTGTTGATATGAAGCCTAGGGCTGCTGCTTCTCCATTCTCTTTGTTCTGCTCAAGACAGAAGAAATCAGATGTGACCCCTGATTGCACGGAAGGGTTCCCGATTAACCCCACACCAAAAGGGATAGGAAGAGAAATGATCTTCATTCATTTCTTCTGCAGTTCTTCAATGGCCCTCAAATTGCTACAGAAGTGAAACCGAAAAGGCAATGGAGTAGCCGTTAGATGGAAGTCTCCTACCCAGCCCCTAATCATCAATATTATTTCACTGCTCAGATTCCAAACATCACAAGTCAAATGTTCGCACTAAGAAGAAAAGGTCCCTGTTAGGGAAAGTGGAAGAAGGAGCAGGCTACATTCTTTGAAAAGTTAATATGTAAAGAGGAGTCACGTAGAGCCCATTTATCACATTACACCAAATGCAGATTGCAGGAAACTCTGAAGAAGCTGCTTAACAATATAAAATAAGCTAAATGGTTTTGGCAAGAATGTATCTAATCCAGTGCCACAGCCAACAAACCACCGCTGGAAAGTGCACAAGCAGAGGATTCCAGCAAAGATTCTTTTCCTCCTCTCCTACCACTATGCTCTCAATTTCCTCCTGGCTAGGAATCAATAATCCCTGCCAGTTTAGCTTTAGCAGCTCCTCTGTTAATATCTGCTGTTAGGTTTATTCACTACTATGTGTTTGCTTGATCCTCCTTTAAGAATTATTTAATTATTTCAGAGATAGTAAATTCCTTAAGGGGCTATTTACTTTTGTCCTGAATCTACTGCCAGCTAATTTTGACAGGTGATTCTTAAATGATAATGGTAAAATCAAACATTCAGTTAATTTTATAATCTTCCACCATGTCTCCTCCACTCCCATAGCAATCATTTTTTCAAAACACTAAAAACACTGTATAATCAAAAAAAGTTGCTCTAAGCACTGAATCTCAATTATTTCATTATCATCCTTTTCTGAATACAAAGAAACATATTTGTTCTTTTGCACCGGCCTGTTCCGGATTTCACTTTCCTGATAGTTCAGGATAAAGAGGGAGAGGGAGAGGGGGAGGTGGGAGAGAGAGGGGGGGAGATCTGACAGGAATGAAATTAGGAATATCATTTTGGGGGCATTTTGCTTCCCTTCACTGTCGTCATTTTAATCTTTGCAGCTGGGAAGGATCCTTATAGATAGGTTCATGTGATATAATTTTCAGAATTTCAATGTATTAGCTATTTTCTACAAACTTGGTCAATGCGTGCTTACCCCTTACTGGTAAAATAGCACTGGTCCAAATAAGATCATTGGAGGACTTCAAAATTTGTGTTCATTGTAAGAATTCTATTTTGTCTCTCCTCTTTGCTTTTTGTACTTTAATAGATACCAATTCATAATGCAAAAAGTTACATTATCCATATGTTGCTGAATCACAACTCCCAACAGCTCCAGTTCCCATGAATAATGAAAGTGGGATGTTGGGAGTTACAGTTTGGTGGGAGCTTGAAGGCCTCAGATTTCCTATATTATGCTGTAACTGCACATCCCTTTTGCATTCCTTTTTTTATTATTATTTGATTCACAAGGTAGAAGAAGAAATCATTTGACTGAGCTTAGGCTGTCAGCGTAGCATGAATTTAAGAATACTGTCTATCTCTAACATGTGCACCAAATGATAAGTAGCAATAGGGACATTTCACTACGTGCAGCCTTTTTAAGAAGCTACTTCCCCTGTACTATATACACAATACTTAAGGACAATAATTGCTAAATGAAATAATAAATTAAGTAAATTAAATAATAACTTATGGACAATAAGAGGGGAAATAAACAGAATTCTTACAAAGATTCTGAGGTCCTTCAAGAATCTGTTTTGGAACTAGTGCTAGTATCTGGAATAGCATTTGATAACTGGTACAAGGTCAGTCTTAAAGTGTTGAATGAAGTTCTCTTTGACCATAGATTTACATGATCATATTCTTCTTAGACTGATCTTTGGCCTAAGTGTTAATCATTTATTTGGGTGGGGTTTTTTTGCTTCCTTTGGAGGTAGAACTGCATTTTATTAGATTGAGCTATTAAAGTTTATTGTTAGTCTCTTTGGAGGCCTAATGAAACATTACAAATATACATTCAGAGCAATTAAGTCATGCTTTCCCACTTTCTTTGTAGCTGCCTATAGGAAACAGAGATTTTAAAGATCTAAATCCAGATGTCCGTCATGCTTGTAAAATAAAGGAAGCAGTCCAGAACAAAAGGTGTGATTTTGGCAGCTTTGTGTTACACCTTTCAACTGCTCTTTAAAAACTCAAGTTGTGTATCTCGCACAAGAATGAGATTTTATTACCTCCTTCTGAGCACATAACTTGAAAATATATTTTTGAGGAGGATATAATTCTGTAATGAGGAAAACTGCGATCCGTCTTTAATTCGCTGAGGGCGATAAGTAAGGTCTTTGCATTTTACAAATTGCTGCTATTTTCATTACTGGCCAAATTAGATATTGTCACATTTTATTACCCTTTTTTGGCCTTTTAGTGTACAGCTGATATCTTTTAAAAGTGAACCAACCAGCAAATGAAGAATCTTGATAATTGATGTATTTGGGGATGAAATGGCATTTTTTATCTTTTGCACTCTCCTGCTCCTCAATCAAAAGGAAGCCTGTCTTTCTTTTCCCATTTATAAAATGGAGGAAATTGCCCACTGGTTCCAGCCACTCCAAATAATGGGTGAAGGTGGGATAATTCCATCAGAGACTTGTAGTGCACGCACAAAGTTTCAGACTGATGTAACCTCTTTCCCCATGTTAACTTTTATTTCTGTAACTAGCTATGCAGGTACAAAACTAAGTATCACTTATAGTTTGGTCCTGTTGAACTTTGTTTTACGGTAGCAGATTTGTTTTTCTTAGTTAATTGTTATTAGAAGACAGTACACCTGATCACCTCGGCCCACCAGCCATGTATGCTTCACAACTGCTCTGTAATCCACCAAATCCTACTAAGCTTCCATAATAATTTTCTGATAATAATCCAACCAACATTTTGAAACATTATAATCAATATTTTTCAATTTTAGCAAAGATTGTGTTCAGGATCTATTCTTAATAGCAAGATTTCATGGTACCAGTTCCTGCTACCCTTAATATTAGTGCCTCTCTTTTCTGAACATCTGAACAAATCAATCCTCTCTTTGAACCATCTTCTGTTTCTTTCAGATAAGACTAAAGAGATATCAGGAAGGATTTTAATGATTATTTGTGGGTTTGAATCTTGTTCATGGAGCTACAGTGAAAGTAATTTACTTTTCAGGCCATCAAAATATTGTTTTGCATAACAATAGATATGTATTCCTTTCAGGTTTTCTATCTTATATTTATAAGTCACTTGATTGGTAAAGCTCTGCATTATGAGCTCAAGGTTAGACCAGAAGTTTTGCAATTCTAGTATGTTCTCTGGAAATCTCACTCTTCTAAACCAGTGTTTCTCAACCTTGGCAACTTTAAGATGGGTGAACTTCAGTTCCCAGAATACCCCAACCAGCTATACTCTGGCTGGGGAATTCTGCAAGTTGACATCCACTTATTTTAAAATAGCCAAGGTTGTAAAATACCATTCTAAACTTGAATAAAATATTCCAGCTAGGAGGGGCTGTGAGAAAATATTGATGTTCCCAGAAATGGTGCCATCTGGTTAATCTGATCTGGCTGATCCAATGAAAAGAGATTCTCAGAGCAGTGGAATACTCTAATTAATGCTAAGAATTTATCATGACAGAAGCAGCGCGCAAACAATTATAGTCACGGTTAAGGCCATATTGAGTCAAGTGTTACTTTCTGATTGCAACTGTTTTTTGGAGCACAAGATAGGTAAATGTTACGATTTAATCTAAATGTGACTATGTATTTGCCCTAGTTGAGGCATGCAGGCATTATCTATTGGAATAAGCTTTTGAACTGAGAGCTGAAGTAATTAATTCAGACCATATGTTGCAGGATAACAATTGCCATCAGCATGGAATTTTTAAAAATTAAATTAATTTTTAATTAATGCTTAAGGACCGTGGAGATTCAGTATTATGCTAAGTCTGCTCACTGACCAAAAATCTAGTTTTATATAAGAAATAAAATTCATATTAGCAAGTTGTGAATGAAAAAAATCAACTGAGCTAAACTTAGTAGAGACAGAAAAACAAGAGACAGAGATATTTACTCAAAGAATACTTAAAATTTATATCACTGTGATCTGTTAAAAATGTTTGTTTATGGAATTTTTATGCCACCCATCTCCCATACAAAGTGATTCTGAGTGGAGGGATTTATGTAACAATCCGCCAAAATAATGAGCTTTATTTGCTTTAGGGTATGGCAAGAAATAAATATACATTTATTTTTAATAATTAAATTATTAAATACTGCTTTACTAAGACGCACACCAGAGGTGGTATTCAGCAGGTTCTGACCAGTTCTGGAGAACCGGTAGCAGAAATTTTGAGTAGTTCGTAGAACCAGCAAATACCATCTCTGACTGGAGATTTTCAGTATCCTTCCCCTGCCATGCCCACCAAGCCATGCCCACAGAACCGATAGTAAAAAAATTTGAATCCCACCACTGATGCACACTTCTGTAGACATTCCAAAGGACGTGGATGAGGCACTT